AATAAGTCAGAACTACCTTGTAGTAATCACCTTGGTAAAACAACTTTCTCCCACAGCTGACCAGAGAGTGGAACAAGGTTGAATAATACATTTGAGATAGATCTCAAAGGAGCTCACTCCCCTTTTGTTCTGATTGACACACATTCTTCTGTGGAACAATGGGCCGTAGTCTCTATTAAGAAATAAAACAGTTCCGTTGAAAAAGACTTGAAAGAGACTTAAGATGTTCACCTGGGTCCTTTTGTGTATCTTTTGCTTGCTGGCGGACTGGTAAACTCAGAGAACACTAGGATAGATCGCCATTTGTTCAACACTTCCGTTCCAAAAGCGATAACATCCCCTCCCACATGGACCTCCCTCGGATCAGTGTGTATGTGCTGGCTCATGCTTCCTACTTTCATTTTCAAACGAAGAAAGAGGGGGCCGAGATACCTTTGCAATAGAAGATCCAAGATGCTTCTTGCATCCCAATGAGAGCCGTCAGCACGCTCACAGCAGCAAGGTTAATCTAGATGTCAAAGTCTGCTGACAGTGCAGGAGATTGCACTGGGGTGACATCCCCATCTGAAGTCTTAATGCCGCAGTCAATTTTAACCTCCCTTTTAAAGAAAACCAGAGTTGCATTTGGCCAGGCTTTCCGAGTTAAATGCACAACTGTCCTTGAAAGCGGGTTCAGCTTTTCCCACAGCTCAGGAGATCTGCCGGCCTAAACTATAGATCACTTTAGGTTCTAAGTAACAAGGTTCACATGCTTGTCCATGTGCCCAGAGTATACAGCAATTGCAGCGTGAGCTGAGTCAGGCTCTGAAAATGCAGCTGGCCCTTTCTCAGGGATATCGCTGCTTCAGATGTATAAAAGCATCACTATTGTTATTCATATCATCAGCAGAGCGTGCCATGACTTGACCACAAGTTTGAACTGCTTCTTTCCAGAGTACATTAAGAGTACTTAAGCGGCAATGCACTGGAGGTAGATAAAGACTTGTTCTGGTAGTCTTATTTGTAATTTAAGAGTGGGGTTTCAAATCAGATAAGGATCTTTAATTAAATGTTTTGAAGGCAATGAAAATGAGTTTTATTCTGCGGGCAAAAAAGGATTGCATGTTTTATGCAAGCCACAGTGACAGCTGAAGATCTGCAGCGACAACAAATTGGGATAACCGATTCAATCAGTAAGATATTCAGCGTGACTGCATCTCTTGGAGATTATTGCTCCAGGTGGCCACATCAAGTGTCGGGGTGCTAAATGAGTTCTAAATGCTGGTTGGCTAATTTTATGGGGTTGTTACTGGTTTCTAAAGAAGCTACGCTTGGATTAGTATTGCCTCTGAGTGCTCAAAACGGAATATATCAAAGGCAGGAATTTGGGTAAAAAAGTTAACACATGATGTGTTAAAACCTTTTGACTGCATCTGATTTTAGCAACATTTTAGCAGGTGATTTGCCAATTATAGTTGTTCTTCTTCACTGCGCCCCAGTAAGGCAGTCTTGCATGCATTAAATGCTTTTGTAAATCAAGCCTACAGGAGGTAGGATAAATGGATGAGGAGAAGGCTGATCTGAGATCAGCAGCGAAGCGTGACAGTGCCGAGGTTTCTGCAGCCTTTCTGCAGGGTTATGAAGTGCTGAAAGAGAGCTCATTCCAGACGCAATGTTCCAGCTTCCTGCCTCGCTTCTTCTCTTCATGATTAAGGTCTTAAACCTCTAATCAATCGCCCTGCGCCTGTTCGCTGCCATGGTGGCGGTAAGCGAGAGAGGGAGATTCTGCTTGCCTCACAGCTCTGAATGCTTAACTCAACTCTGTTAGCCTGCCAACAGACAGCGCTGTGGCACTTCTATCCACTCTTTTAGCGTGTGACCTTCACTGATTCATCTCTCCTACCCCTCGCTTTCTTGCACACACCGACACAACCACACACACCTCTCTTCTCTGCCTCAGGGGGATTACCGAAGGACTGACCATCATATTTAAGGGATATCTAAAAGCCCGGGCCAAAAACTCATTTCATTGGTAATTTCCACCCATTTCTGCAAGGTGAAGTCATTAGAGTCACGGCAACCCCTGGAGCTGCCATACCGTCACCCTGCTGTCACACTCTCTCTCGTCTGATCCCCCTCTCCAAACCAGCTGTGGCTCATACACTTGTGTCCTTTCATTACAGAAACTACTAATTTGGTTCGCGCCTGTTCTCCGACAGCTTCAGGGGATAACGATACAGTCACCCTGCAGCTAACGCCACCCCACTTCTCTTCGCCATGTTAGTATAATCCACCTTTCACAGGTCATTGAGCAACGATCGGTCTCACCGAGTAAACCGCAGAGAAATGTTTGACTCTTTCAACCCTGTTAGGCACAGTTATGTACCCAATGACTCAAATAATCTTCAGTAATCGCCTCATGTAAATGCCTCAACCGATTCACAACAGTGAGACACAACCTTTAGTCCTCTTCAGGAAACAGGTAGGAACTAAATGCAGCTTTATTTGTTACAAACATAAACATGGTGAGAAGCAATATATGAGGGTATAAAGCTTGTTTCACAAGCTGAACAGTGTTGGCCAGTCATAAAACAAGCGCCCAGAAAATGTTCTAATGATTAAATTAATATAAAATCGCTAAGAAATGCAACTAGCGCTAATAATAGTGTTTAGTTTTTGAGTAAACCAGTATTTTATTAGGATAAATCTGAGTGGGCAAGACGGTGTTTTTTTTTTTTTTTTCAGAAAATTGCCCACATTGAAAAAGGGGTTGAACAAAGACCAAAGAAATAATAGCCTGTTCATGTTAACATATAATTTTCATATTCTGAAATCGTCCCCACATGCATTCTCCAAGTCTTGTCTCTCTACAGGAAAGCAGGGAATTGGCGTCATTGCCAAAAGTGACATTTTGTCTGTTTCCTTCCAATTAGAACCTAATTCAGCGTGAATACTCACTGTGTACTACAAATGACATGTAAAATCTGAAATGCCACATCAATGAGCGAGTTGCAGAAATTATATTTAGTAAAGAGGATTGTGCTTAAAATCAAGTCTCGAATTGGGGGCTCGTCTAGGACGCAGGTGCACCTGTTTACTTAATAAACCTCAAGCAAGCATTTGGGTACCCATACCAGAGTAAATCTCCTCTGTTACTTTTTTTGCACGAAAGCTTGTCCAAAATTATAAAGTCAGTAAATATCTGCAGCAGGGCCCCACAGACGACGGAAATATCGAAATGAGAAGCATCTTATCACACGTAAGCACATCGCTGGCGGTGTTATTGAAAGACTTTTGCAATTTCCCCCTTGTCATAGACGTGGAGAGAATTATCTGGCCACTGTGGGAAGCAGAAAGAAACAACACAACAAGATCAACAAATGTTTAAGTCACTACCTCTGTGCCAGGAACTTTTCCTGATGTGAAGGGTGAGATTATGGTTAAGCGCAAATGTGTTCTCTCGAATTGTGATGGGCAGGTTGTCTCGAACAGCAATTTAAGTCATGGTTCCTGATAGAGAGCTGGGAAAAGCAGGAGTTTTTTGACAGTTTTCACTTTGGTTTGGTTGGGATAAAGTTGTGAGTGTCAAAGTGAGCACTCGGAAACACACAAACTACATATTAATGTTACGCTGTTAATATATTTTAGGGTTAAGCAAAATTCTGGATGAATTTTTGAAAATGTTACGGATTTTATGCTCAAGAATAGTTTGCATACATCTGCTGCCAAAGCTGAACTAAAGTTTACTTGGCTGATTTACTCCACATGCAATGATTACAGATTTATCATCAGGCAAACACTGAGCCACAGATCACCTTGAATGAAAAGCATGAACCAGCAAAACTGTGAACAAGAGAACACATTACAATAAAATCCAAATGTCACTTCAGAATAAATGAAGAATGTTCCAAAGAAGCCCTTTAGTCTTAGGAAAGCTCCATTTTGAATACACAATTAAGTTACCGCATTATTGTGTTTACGGTCTTCTATTGTAAAACACTGGGGAGAAAATAATATTTATTACCTGACAAAATCCAAAACATTGTTATGGACTCTCTTCTATTATATTTTGATGACTCTATTAGTGGCTACAATATTTACTAGAGGAAAGGAGTAAAGAAAGAGTTGCCGAACTCGGAAAGGACAGTGTTTCTTATGGAATTTAGCACATATGTTTAAAAAAAAAAAAAGTTTGCACATGCAAGTTCTTAAAGATAGCCTAACCATCTCTCTTTTATTACTCAAACTATGGGAAAGGATGCTATAATATGTTTGCAAAGAAGCATAATCACAATTCATAAATGCAATGAGGGTTAATGAATGGAATATGAGTATTTTCTGGGCAAGATCTTGCTTGAGAAATGAATCTACCTTTTCTATTACATTAATTTCAGAAGCAAATGGTCTCTGGAATACAAGGAGCGAGGCTATGTCTCATGATTTTCCCTTTTGGTTGCATCCAAACCGAACAAAGTGGGAAATGAGAAAAAAAAAAGTTAATTTAGAAATATCAACTTACATTCTATGGACATGTGGAAAAAAAAAACATTAAAATATTCTCAAAATATGTATAGAATTCACTCACCATAACAGCACGCCAAGGAACTAAAATCATCTAATCGGGAAATGAAATAAGTTAACATATTGTCACTTGTGACACATAAATTTACATTATTTACATTCCTTGTTTTTTTTTCTAAATAAACTCCTTTGTATTGATTAGTGGTTTCTTCAAATTAATCCGTTCACTAAAAAGCGCCTCAGAATATTTAAAAGCCCTGTTGGATACTGCCTGTAGAGTCAAAGAGAAGATCCGGCCAATCAGAGTCAGCAGTAAGGCTTTTTTTGAAAAAGTCTTTGCCAATCATCTGACATGGCAACGGTAAGCAGTCATATCCGAAAGGCGATATACCCTTAGCAAGAAACATGGCATACATCCACACTCAGAGAAAGAAAAATAAATAAAAATATATATATTTATAAAATGAAAAACATGTAACCACTGGGAGAATTGTCAAGCAGTCAGGAAAAAAAAAGAGTTTTTCTCCGTACTTTAGGGGGAATTTTCCATTATTCCTTTTTTAGAGTTTGAAAGTAGGCTGTTCTTACCAAAACGAAAAGAAAAAAAGAAATAGAGAAAGGAGACTCCTCTTCTTGCAGAACAGTACATCTTTATATGCAGGTAAACAAAATGTGAAAGTGCTTTTTAAAGACTGTTATCCAGTGTATCGAAAGGAGTAGCAGGCACTTAAGTCCATCCCCATGTTGCAGGTGTCTGACAGTGGCGCAGTAAGGTACGTGTTGTTTAGGGTAAATCCCAGATTGTTCGTTCCTCCGATGGATAGACGCAGACAGACATCCACACATATTCCCAACAAACACTAGCCAAGGATATCCAGGTAGACAGGTGTGGCTTTGCCCAAGGTATAAAGAATTTTCTGGATGTCTTTGATGTTCAACCTCTGCTGCGGTTCCCTCTGCCAGCATCCCAGCATAATGTCGTATACTTCCTTGGGACAAATCCGTGGCCTCTCCAGCACGCGTCCTTGTGTGATGCATTCGATTACCTGTGAATACGGGGAGGAAGGAGAATGCAATTACTGGATAAATATTCTATTGCAGGGGTCTTTTCCAGGCCAAGGTCTCCTCTTACATACTTTATAAACATGTGTGTTGAATTTTAAGCCTGGCCTATAGGTATTTATATACTTTTTTTTATTAAAGTTATAAAAAAATATCATTAATGTATACAGTAAAATAGGCTACATGTAAGAGGGACAATAAAGCATTTAGCTGAACTTCATCTTAAATTAAAGGTAACTTTTTTTTTCTCAAAATTATTCTAAGATTTGAACCAAACTAACCATTTTACTGATTTCAAAATATTCAAACATATAAATAAACTACACAGAAAATACTTTGGTGTAGGATTTACTAACAATTTTCAGATATTTCAGAGATTGCTAGTTAAATTCACAAGTACTAAAGAATTGGCAAGTTCCACACTGAGCGCCAGAAACACAAACTATCTATAATGCTTACAAGAAAACATCTTAAAATATAAATATAAGTACATTTAAGTATCAAGCCACATTTGAAAATTTATGTGATTATTGTTTTTGCTTAAAACCCACTATAAACCATCATCGAGTGCTTGTAATAACTTCCGATTGTGATCTATAGTTGATTTTGATTCTATAATAGGCAGACATGCACTCTTTGTAGGCTATGTTTAATAACGCCACACAGCTTATTGTCATAAACATCCTTTATTTTTATAAAATTACCATGAGCTGCATACAAAACACATACAGAAAATATATCGTCATAATCATGTTTATTTTTTCGAAACAGCGCCACCACTCTCAACTTTTTGTGCAATAGCAGCTGCTCTGGGCACGGGATCTAAGCTCAAATCTGATTGGACGGCCCGTTTCATCGTGGAGCGACGGGGGAAAAAATCGACACACAGGACGAAAATTTTCTCAAAAAAAATGGTAATCTTTATTTTTATTTATTTTTATTTACTACTATTCGTTTTATTGGCTACTGTTTTTACAATGTACTGTTTAAATGTTTGTGGTCAGTAAGATTTTTTTTTATATAGGCCTGGTTTCACAGACAGGGCTTAGACTAAGCCAGGATTAGGCCATAGTTCAATTACAAGAAATGTTTCTTGAGGACCAAATCAGCATATTAGAATGATTTCTGAAGGAAATCTGATGGACTATGGATTATGGGTACTGCAATTCTTCTCTGAGATTTCTGATTTTTCTTTTTTTTTATCATCTTGAAATCACAAGACAAAGTCGTGAAAAGTACTATCAAAATTAAGAGGTTCCTTTCTAAATTCTGTTTACACACCACAAGTATTTTTTTCTTGAAATATCTGATGCAGCTTTGCTCCAAACTGTAACACGAGTACTCTCTTGTATTTTATGCTGCAGTCAGATGCTGTGAGAGGACCTGCTGACAGTCTGAAGAACTGATTTTTTTTTTTGTACAAGATACTTATTTTCTCATTTAACATTTTTCTGTTTCTGTAGAGAAACCATCTACAGCCTGTATGTTATGATACGCAAAATGGGACCATCTCATGAAACTTTTGAAGACATTTGCCTCTGTGCATGGCTTCGTATCGACTTTTAGAAGAGACAGATGATTGTTCGTGATCTCTCGGGTTCCCCTCGCTGACTCCAGCTAGTGGCTGTCTGTGTTCTATTGACTGAAAGTTTGATTTAGTTTCTTCCACTGGCAGATATGACACCATATGTTCTGATGCAATACAGTAGCCACCGTCCCTTTGGCAACAGAATATGAAACAGTGCATGTGATTGGTATTCAGTGCATAATACAAAAACACATCATTCTTGCATAAATTGCACAGCACCTATAGATTATGGTTCACTGAGTTGATATTGATAATCTCTGTGTGAAGTAGTGCTCAAACCAGCTGCGACTTGAAGCTTCAAGAGAAGCGCTGTGGCTTTTTTCACTTTTCACAGCTTGGGAAGCTGAAGTGGGGAATGGAGTATTTGTGGCAGATCCAGCTGTGTTTGGTCAGCAGAGAAAAACAGAACACACTTTCTCACACAGACTCTCTACTTTGTATTTCTGGTGTCTGTTCTCTTCTGATTCTTGTTTAGAAATGTGAATAAAATAAAATATATTTTTTTAGCAACTTTGTACTAGTAACTATTATATAACTATCATAGAATAGGATTATTCATTTAGGACTATTATGAGTGTTTGCATTTGTCCAGCTTATACAGTAATTGCCATCTTTCACAACGATGATTCTTATTAGATTATCATTACTGTAATGTCTATTATAATTGTATTTCTCCAACTCATAATTGCCTTTATTCCCAATGACGATTCTTATTAGATAATCATTAGTGTAATTATATGATAATATAAATATAAGAACATTTAACAATGTAATAACTATTATTTATCAATTTTCATTGTTATATAACTATCATAGAATAGGATTATTCATTTAGGACTATTATGAGTGTTTGCATTTGTCCAGCTTATACAGTAATTGCCATCTTTCACAACGATGATTCTTATTAGATTATCATTACTGTAATTACATCATTTTATATATATATATATATATATATATTAATATTTAAAATATGTAATAACTATTATTTATCAATTTTCATTGTAAAGTATATATATATATATATATATATATATATATATATATAGCCTTCATTTTCATGTGAAACATTAAATCTTTTTTTTTTTGGGAGTGAAATAAGGTTTCACAAGATTCACCCATAAACTTGTCTTATTATAACAATCTACAGTCACTCACAATATAATTGTTCAGTATTTTCTGCACATGGGAATATTTGGTTGCAATATTTTGTTTTGAAGACATAAATAACGGCAGAAAGCCCAGTTCAGTAACAGTAGCAGACACAATGTTATAAGGCCCTTATCAAACCATAACATTTAGTTCAATAGTGGTAATTATTAGGTTTTTGTGAAAAGGTAAATAATAATCTTTGCTATTCAGACACATGGAAGAGTTTGGGAGCAACATCTCTATGTGTACGTGACTGTTTGGAGTTCATCCAAACCTTAGTTGTGAAATGTTACATGGTGAACAGTAGCCGAAAATTAAGCAGCGATGTTCCTCATTAACGTGTCACAAAAGGGAATGTGTGTGTGATGAATATGCCAGCAACATGACATTTCAATGTGTAGTTCCTGTTTATTTCATAGAAGGAAGTCATGTTCGAGATGAGCTTGAGTTACGGTCAATACCTGTCAAATGACTCACTATAACAGCCCAGTGATTGTTTACTTTCGCCTCGTTTGTCATCCTGCCTGAAGACTTCATTTATTTTGACCCTGGTTACATACAATCACCAGAAGCTACACTAAAATTAGCATTGAATGTGTCTCATATTGCTACATAATTGTCAGGATTGTGGGAGTCACAATCCAGATCCAGTTTTTATCCAGTACAGACATTCCATCTCCATTACACTTTGTATTGTTATCTCACATGGGTCTCTACTCCTTGCTTTCACCTATACAGCAGTCATACAGTGGTGGTGGTTTACTAATAATGCTTGATCAAAGTAGGGTTGTGACAGTGAGGAAATTTTCCGACCGGTTAATCGATGTGTGACAACACCGGTATTACCGGTATCACCGTTGGGGTGGGGGGGGAAGGTGGGGGGTTGTTATTTCGTTTGAGTTTCCCTCTTTTCTTCGCTTTCAAATGGTGTGCCGTCAAAAAGTGCCGTGAGCATTTTACTTTCACTTTCAAATTAGCAGCAATTGAATTGCCTCAATTCGGTGTCAAGCAATTGTTCATTTGAGTTTTCCCTCTTTTCCTTCGATTTCTTGGCTTTCAAATAGCTTGAAAAAGCATTGTGCGCGTTTTACTTTCAGTTTCAGATTAGCGGCAATTCTGCTTTGATTCAATTCAAGCAACAACAACGTCAAACTCTGAACTTTTATTAACAAAACAAATAAAAATACGCCATATATGCCTAATAAAATAACAAATTACTTAGGCTACACAAAGTTTAAATAGGTATATAAAACTGAAAATCAGCAAACACTGTGGAACCATATAAATAAGAAACGAATGTTTAAAAAAAACTTCCAGTCAATAGGCTTTTCAAAATCTAAAATATTGCCAAACAGGCGCCTTTGCATTTCCTTTCTAAACAATCTTCTGCCATCGTCTTGTCTTTCTCACCTCGCTCTTGTCAGTCAGCTCGACTCTCCTCACAAGATAAATAAAATCGTTCGCGCATGGTTCGGCACGCTGCATTGAGCATTTAGTTTTTAAAAGTGTCTGTCCTCTAACTGAACTAGGCTAAATGATTTGTTACTATAAAAAAAATCAAAACGACAGTGGGGGGCGGTAGGCAAATTACATAACCGGTGTTGTGGCTTAACACTGGTATAACCGAAAACACCGTCTATCGCAGCAAGCCTAGACCAAAGCTAGCCAAATTCATGATGGCTTTTTCTTTATGGAAACTGTAAAAATGAATGTACCTCATTATTTGCCAGCTGAAACCATGGCTGCTTGCCGTAGGTGAAGATCTCCCAGAGGATGACGCCGAAGCTCCACACGTCACTCTCCGTCGTGAACTTCCTGTACATGATGCTTTCTGGTGGCATCCAGCGAATGGGCAGCATTGTGTGTCCTCCCACCTGTCAGGGCACCAAATCATGATTATATAGTGACCTTCACAAACTCACAGAACTCAATATTACCAAAGGCAAGCCACACTCCATGTAAAAATAAAAAGATAAAATCCTTATTATTTGTATGTATATATGGAGAAAAAATAATTAAAAGTCCACATTCTATGATTTCCTTAATTTTCATAGCATTAAGTAATTTCTCAAGGCTCTGTCACACTAAGGACGGTAACTATAACAATAATTAGAACATTTTAAAAATGGTTCTAATTCTATGAGAACAGTGATGTCCACATCACAACTATAACACAGAGGGCTCGATCATACACCCGGTGCAATGCGGCGCCAGGCGCAACGCAAGTGTTTTTTGCTAGTTTCAGCCAGACGCAGTTGTCATTTTCACGTCCTGTGCCACGTTGTTTAAATAGTTAATGCATTTGCGCCCATTTGTGCACTCATGTTGGCGCGTTGCTATTTTGAGGCAACTGAAATATAGCAGTAGTTTTTTTGTTATTTAAAGAGCGCGTTAGTATAGGCGGGTCCACAGCGCACGTACACTCTGCTTATTACACACATAGGGATGCGCAGCAGCACACAAACATGCCAAATATTAAAAATTAAAGGATTGCCATGTAAAAGATTATTATTGTGTAGGCTACATAAATATAAAAATGCCTACATGTCATAATGGATAGTTATTGCATGTATCAGAATTAGACTCGCACACGAGCAGATCTGTTTCCTCTCTGGAGACTAATTTTGTCTTTGCGCTTGCAAATGTGTAAATAGCAAATCCACCATGGCACGAGCACAACTGGCTCTTAAAGGGAATGGGAGATGAGACTCTGATTGGTTTATTGCACATTATGCCCAAAACACACCCATTACTCATTAAGAGAATAGTGACAACCCTCTTAGACCATGCGCCGGGCGCACCGACCGTTTTTCCCATCGTTAAACTAGCAAAAGTGGATTTGGACATGCCCTAAGTGCACCTGCGCCGTGCGCTTTAGACCATGCGCTTAGATCTTTAAAATAGGGCCCAGAGAAATTATATTATTGGAATTTTCAGAACGTTTCTATTTTTCAGCTGATGAAAAAAAAGACAACCAATCAAATTGCATCTGACTTTAAAGAGCTTAAAGGGATAGTTCACCCCAAAATGAAAATTCTGTCATTAATTACTCACCCTCATGTCGTTCCAAACCCGTAAGACCTTCATTCATCTTCAGAACACATATTAAGATATTTTTTATGAAATCCAAGAGCTCTCTGACCCTCCATAGACAACAAGGTAACTACCACAGTCAAGGCACAGAAACGTAGTATGAACATCGTTAAAATGGTCCATGTGACATCAGTGGTTCAACCGTAATTTTACAAAGCTACGAGAATACTTTTTGTGCGCAAAGAAAACAAATATAATGACTTTATTCAACAATTCTTCTCTAACCCCGAGTTACCATCTACCACCATTATAGAGAGTAACATGACGCATGCACGTGATGCTGCTGACGCACCTTGTTTACGAGCAGAGGAAAGCACGCGCATGCGTTGTGTTACTCGATAATGGTGGTAGATGGTAACTCAGGGGAGAAGAATTGTTGAACAAAGTTGTTATTTTTGTTTTTTTGCGCACAAAAAGTATTATCATAGCTTCATAAAATTATGGTTGAACCACTGATGTCACATGGACTATTTTGTTAATGTTCTTGGTACCTTTGAGGGCCTTGACTGTGGTAGTTCCGTTGCTGTCTATGGAGGGTCAGAAAGCTCTCCGATTTCATCAAAAATATCTTAATTTGTGTTCCAAAGATGAGCAAAGGTCTTACGGGTTTGGAACGACATGAGGGTGAGTAATTAATGACAGAATTTTAATTTGGGGTGAATTATCCCTTTAAGCATTTAAGTCAAGACACCCAAGGTGAATAAGGTAAAAAATATATATATAATAAAAAAAAATGTATTATAACTTAGATTTTATTCTATAATTGTTTAAATTATGATCTGCAAAATATATATATATATATATATATATATATTCTACTGCGTTTCATTAAATATTTATATATGCAAATATATACGCAAATAAGTCATTATCTAATTACATATGCAATCATTTGCATACACTTCCAAAAGATATTTATTTATTTATTATTATTTTTTTTATTTTTCATATTAGAGTCAAAAGTTTTATACAAAGATGATTCTGGATTTGATCACTGTAGCTATCTGTATAGTTATCGTTTTTGGTGTGAAAGGGCCTTTAATCCTAATTTCTGCTGGTAAATAGATCTTCCCTTTTTGCTATGAAAAATAACCAATATGATTTACAAGATTTGTCGAGCGGAAATCTGAGAAACCAGGAAAGACAGGGAAAAGGAAAACAAATATATCCATTAAAGGTTTTTGAAAGCTCCAAATCATCAAAGGCCATAAATAAAGTCTCCCTCCAGGCCTTCCCTATGTAAAGCGAGATATTAATCGATTAAAACAACGAGACATTAATCATCTTTGCTCTGGGCCGGCACCGGACTGGATTGGTTTAAAATCTATTTCCTCTTTGTGTCTGCTGGGTTGTGTTAATTACAGCCGTGCCATGACAACTAAGGGTGACGTTTCAATGGCGGCCGCGTGGTTATTGCGGCTTTCAACTCGTAAGTGGCCACTGCGTATTAATTACAAGGCTCATTAGTGGTTTGCTCACATGGGGGTCAGGCTATCGACTGCGCACAGGAATACAAAGCAGCCTGCGGTATACTGTACGTCCTCAGACTGCCTATTTTTGCTTTGTAAGATATGTATTGTACTTTTATTTTTATCAGAAATGAATTTAGCTAGAAAATAGTAGAGCATTAGCAAAAGAAAAACAACTCTAAATGAGATTATGGTAAAATGTTCATTAGCTCACATCCCACAATGCTTTGGCAAGAGTATATCCTTGGCAACAGGACGTGTCTCTAAGCGCAGAGCACGGTGACAATTGAAGAATTAGGAAAATGCGACTGTTTAGATGTCTGACAATGAAAAATCACTGTTTATCAAATAAACAACAAAAAAATAACTCTCGGGTTGTGTATATGCACGCATTCAAATGTGCAAACTGCAAATGACTCGGAATAATGAGTGCAAAAATATAAGCGTCACGATTAGCAAACTATAAAGGCATTGAGATGTACTATAATTAAAGGTCTGGGAGTTTTTTTTTCTGCTGTAATGTCTTTAATGCAGGGAACGATAAGGCTGTATAAGGCTGTGTATGTTAATCAGCTACGCTTCTGTGATTCTCATTCGCAGCCAGTTCCTCACAGAGGAGGAAGCTGTCCCACAGGCTCCAGTGATGTGTGGCAAATATCTCTCCCCTCGCTGGCTCGCTCTTTCCCTCCTGCCTCTGCCCTTTAGGAGGTGTAAGCAATATGCCAGTCCTGCTGCGGTCAAACAACACTCCTCGTGTTCCGTGAGATGGAGTTCAGGGTACTACTGGGCCGCTGCTAGCGCTCCCCATGCGTGGGCAGGAACTACTCCCTATGGCCATACTGAGCTGCTCGCCTGGCTAACTCAGCCTACTTTAGTGTTAGCGCATAACATCCTTGCCAGGAAAAGTCAGCCAGGGATGAAGGTAATGAAGGTATGATCACCGGTAATAGACAAAGACAGAGAGGAGAGAGACAGAATAATATGTGGAGAGCTTGAAACAGTCAAATAAGATGCTAACGTATGTTAGCTGCAATGCAAGCAACTTGCTGCTGCTGTGTAAGATCCTTTCCCTCACAGTCTGATGATAGAAAACAGCTTATTATTCATGAAAACATGCTAACCTCTTTTAAATTACATGTCAGAGAATTAAAAGGGTAAAAAAAAAACATTTATCTTCCTTTGTGTTTTCAGTTAGCCTTTGATTAGAAAGCTAAGAGCTTAGTTTATTAGCTTAGCATAGCGCTAACTGTTTAAGACTGTTTAACACTCTTTAGATTAGCTAGAACAATATATAACAATAGCAGGCTACTTTTTTTCAATCAGGCATTGAGGAGAATAGGACACAGCATACTACTCAAAAAGCATGGTGAATCACAACATTAAAAAGTTTGATTTGCAAAAACATTTAAAATACCAACAAAAAGGCAAAAGACTTTGTACATAACGGCTTTAATGAGCGAAAGAACTACAATCCCATGAAGCACTGTCAATGACATAATCGAATTTAAAAAATGATGTACTGATTTAAACCACTGATTTATAGATGTTGATTATAGATATAGAAAGAATATCACGTTCATTGAAAAATATGCACATACTTACAAATATTTTAGAGAGCATAGTGAGACTGACTCGATTACATAATTCGCAGTGCTTCATGGAAGTAGGTGGACTTCTTTAGGCACGATTTGCTTGCTTCGATTCTTTGATTGGTGGAGATTTCTTTGCAGAATCATTTTTTTAAATATATATAACAAGCTCACGGCAGGTCTGTCTTTAAAGGTTTATCTTTAAAAGTTATCATATAAGTTATATGGGACTTTCAGAATCCAACTATTGCACTCTTTTTTTCTACCATTCATACCAGTAGTATACTATTCTGAATTTAGCCAAATGCTTTTGGCCACATAACTATTTTTTTTTTTTTAAACAAAAAGACATAGGCTATGTTTGTTATGAAATACTAGCCTTATACTTACTACATGTGCAAAATACACTTTATACAGCTTACATTTTCTTTTAAAAATGTGAAACAGGTAATTCAGGTCAAAGTTAATTCAAAATTATTCAAAGTTAAACAGTAGTATGCTTCATTACATGTCACAATACATTCCATGTGAGTGGCATCCAGTTATAAAATTGGAAATTAAAACTGTTATTTCCCATTTTTTATTTAATTTAGATTCCGGATTTAATTACAGTTCATTCATCACACAGGTCGAGTGAGTGCACTGTGTACAGTGTACTCTGTTGTATAATACAGTGTATCCATACAGAAAAGTGCACTGAATAGGCAACCATATATATAGTAT